TGTCGAACTCGACCCGACCAGCTAGTGTTGCGGCGATTCTGTTCGCTTCTCCTTTCGTCAGCAAGCTCATCTGGGTCTCGACGTGCTCGCTGTTGAGGAACTCGAACCCTTCCCCGCCTGGCGCTGCTGGCCCGGCCGGGTCTTCCTCGACCGCCTCCGCGTCCTCTGCCCGGTTGTCCTCTTGGGGCTCGGCTTGAGGGTAATCCCCAATTACCCTCGTAGGCGTTTCCCTGACGCCTTCAGCCGGGGAATTTCGTCCGCTCGTGGACGCTTCCCCGCTCCCTCCGCTCGAGCTCTCCGATCTGCTGGAGCTCGACCCCGACGTCCCCGACGAGCTTGATGACCTGTCTTGCTCGGGGGCTCGGTCGGGGATTTGCTGCGGTCGTTGCTCAACCTCTGCAGAGTAGGACATGATGTCCACCTCCTCGCTGATTTGTTCGACCTCGTCGTCATAGTCTGCGACCGAGACGTTCTGGCTATCTGAATCTGACATCTTTTCTACCTAAAGGTCGATCGTGGTTAGTACAGGGCTCGGGACGTTGTGTCGGAGTTAGTCCTATCCTACTCCTACGCAAAGCTTAAAATAATTAAAAAAAAAAAAACAAAGCAAGGGAGTAGAAAGCTTACCGATCACGGAGACTTTGATGGAGCTTGAAGATGGTTTGCTCGGTTGATCTGCTGATGATTCACTCGGGACTCTCTGAGGGTACCGGTTGGTTCAGAAGATTGAGGAAAGTTCAAATGAGGGCCTCAAAGGCCTATTTATAGGAGAGCATTTGGGCGGGAAACCAATCCACTTGCGCGATGTGACCCGCACTGATTCCGAGGCGACCGTTGCAGTCGCAGAGGCCGGCAGTCGCCGACACGTGGCGAGAGAAGGAATGACAGCTGGCCGGTCGGTTTGCCGGCTGGCGGTTGGGCTTCTACATCCCGTCCCGTTTTTTCCCGGACGGACAAAAAAGCCCGGGCTGGGGGGCTCTTGGTAGGGAATATCCCGACCGACATAGCTTTACCCCGATCAGTGCGCCTTCATCGTTTTCTTCTTGTCTTTGCAGGTAATAGGTCGGGCTTCTTGAGAGAAACCCGGTCGGGGTCCGACCGGGAGTTTCCCGAGCGGAAGTGTTGACCACCGAGCGGTAGCCCTTTGGCGTGAGAGCTGACGAAGGACACGTGGCGGCTCCACGCGTTGACAGGCAGGGCACCCGGGGCGACGAGACGTGGTGGCTACGTGGAGAGCATGCCGAACGGCCGGATTTGTGTCTCCGGCTCCGCGGCTATAAATACCCGCGATAGCTACAGTGTGGGGGACTTTTGGACGATCGATAGGTTGTTGTTAGAGAATCCCAACCGCAGTCAGTCGATACTCAGAGCAACCAAGTAGATTGTACTTAGGGCCTTCACTGTGATCAATAAAAGACATTTACTTGCTTTAATTGGTCTCGTATTTACTTAATTACCGCTTACGTGGCAATTAACACTATCAGTTATAAAATTATGAATTTTCTGTTATGAGATTATGAATTTTCTGTTATGAGATTATGAATTTTCTGTTATGAGATTATGAATTTACAATAAATTCATAATCTCATAACAGAAAATTCATAATTTAATAAATGTTTTTCTTTTATGCGATTATGAATTTTTTGTTATGAGATTATGAATTTACAGTACATTCATAATTTCATAACAGAAAATTTATAATCTGACCAAATGCGCGCCGTTAATACCACATTAGCCAATTCTTTTTTTCCATAAAAACAGCACCGTTTGGATCCATGTTCACCATTCATGGTGAACACGTTTCCAGATCATAATTTGCCCATAATTATGATTTGAGAATGGACTATCATATCCTAACGCTGTACAGCAACTAAGTTTGACTATTTTGATGGTGGATTAGTTTTGGGAATTATAATACCTAACTTCCATAAGTTTTTTTTTTTTTTTTTTTTTAACATAGTTTACTCAAATCCAAGCACTTAAAAAAATAATTGGACATAAAATTGAATTAAGTTGTAAAATCAATTAAATAATCCATTTTAAAATATTAAGTCAAGATATCAATTTCTAAGGCATTATCACTAAATTTGGAATACTAAAAAAAAAAAATAACTCCCTTGTTTATAAAAAAAAAAAAAAAAAATACTAAAGAAGAAAATAATGGAGTATTTCCAAAAAAAAAAAAAAAAAGAAAAAAAGAAAAGAAAGTAATGAATTTTCTTTGTGTGGTGAACTAATAAGTTTTTTACTATGTTTTAGAACACTTCAATAATAAAATTCATATTTTAAAAGGATTCAATGGGATTAATGCACTTGAGATGATTCAACCATTTTAATTTCATAATCATCAGTTTAATTATTAAAATTCCATCGCTCTTATATAACTTATTAATGATCCTTAAAAATACCTTGTGTATTTTAATGGATCACATTCAATCTTTGAACTCTACATAACAAACACTGCACATTTAAGCCGTCCCTAGTAAGGAATTATAAACACACATTTTAAAATTCATATATAATGTTCTTTATGTCATAGTTTTTTTTATATAATCATAACTGACTTAAACCGTGTACATTTTCAAACAAGAAAAACTTGTGTTAGTGCACCAAAATAAAGAAAAAAAAATGTACAATCTATGAGACTTATTCTAAGAAACAAAACTTCTTGTTAAACTGGGAGGGACTTGCGTCATCTCATCCGTTGATTGGAGATGGTGACTAGTTGGTCGCCTTCTCCGTTCGTTGGAGATGGACGGAGAAGGCAATCACAACTCACTAACTAGTTTTTAGGCTTCATTGCACCAAAATAAAATGTTGATGGGTATAATTATACCTTTAAAAAATGTAAACATCTAATTGACTTTTCAACTAAATTTCGAATGCTTATTTGACCCTTTTCCCTTTTTAAAAAGTATGTGCTAGGCTTGCTCACAAAAGGCAATTGATGGGTAACTAAAGATAAGAAATTTTGATGGGTAACTAAAGATAGGAATTTTTTTTTGAAAGTAATTTGACTCTATTACATTGTAGTATCTGGTCATACATACTTTCTAAACCTAATAAAACACAAAGAGTCAACACCGCTTCCACTGAGACTCTATCTCATGACCTCCCATATAGGAAAGTCACTACAAGTACAAGATAAGAAATTTTTTATAATGATTATATTTAAAATATATATATTTCTTAGTGTTTAGATAAAAGTTAGAGAATATTTTTTCGTTTTAGTTTTAAAAAATTAAAAATTTGTTTATTACTAAATTATTTTCTTAAAATATATTAAATTTCTTTTAATAATAGCATTATTAAGTAGAAGAGGTCAAAGTACCTATGAGATCCCTGTACTATAACGTTTTGTTCAATTTAGTCCTTCTACCTTAACTTTGTTCAATTTAATCCCTATACTTTAAAAAGTGAAATGATTAAGGACAATAATTGATATTTATGTATTTATTTTGGACATATTATGTAATATATTGGTGGTAAAAATAAGTAATTTTAAATATTTATAAAATAATATATGAGTTGGTATGTAAGTATGATGATGTGATAGATAAGATGTCTACGCCATATCAGCGATTGTCCTTAATTGTTTCACTTTTTAAAGTACAAGGACTAAATTAAACAAAATTAAGGTAGAAGGACTAAATTGAACAAAAGACTATAGTACAGGGACCTCATAGGTACTTTGACCAGTAGAAGACGAGGGATCAAAGCAAATGAAAAGAGAGCATTTAAAAAACAAGTTGATGAAGTAGAAGATCATATGAGGGATCGACCAAATGAAAAGGACAAGTACTTTCTAAAAAAAAGAATATATGAGAAGAAAAGAGAGATGTTGATAATAAATGAAAAGCAAAAAAAAAAAAAGGAAAAGCAAAATGATATTAAAACAAATTAAATGAAAGTGTTCTACTAATAGTTCTATTTGAATTTTAATAAGACTAATAGTTATTAGTTTCACAATATAACAACAATATTTATAATCTTTAACCAATGCATTGCATATGTATCATGCTAGTTCTCAAAAATGATTTTATAAGTGGTTTAAAAAACAATAATAATGAATAATTATTATTATATTTATTTTCTTTCCTTTGGAAAGTAAACTTGGATTTGTACGTCGATTTTTTAAAGAGAATGTAAAGGACGGGTTGGGATGTAGGATCAATAAATGTCATGCAATAAATAGCGTCGAAAGAGGGGACAGACACACATATACTGCGCTTCTAATCAAATCAAATGTGCATAGCCTTTTTGGTGGGTATCATTAATATATGCACAACACTATACTATATATAAGTATCTTTTTTTTTTTTTTGTTTTTTGTTTTTTTTTGTTTTGTTTTCTTTTTTGTTTACAAACGAGAAGGTGACGTTCCTCTAATGGAAGAGATTGAATATAAAGGAAAAGATGATATTTTTTTCTTATATATATATATATATATATATATATATGTTTATAATGTTGTTTTCTTATTAAAGTATTCATGTATTTATATTTACCTTTCAATTATTTTAAAAGGTTCAATTTTGTCATTTTCATGTTAAATAGACTTTTAAATGATTAAAAATAAGGAAAAATAAATATTTCAAGTCATTTTTTTTTAATTAAAGAAGATTTTTATTATTTATTGCCGTAAAATGATGTGATGAAAGACCAGGAGCTCAACTCATGCTAGCTAGAAAACAGATAGATTGAAGGAAGACTAGCGGTTATAACATAAAGTTAGTAAACAGATAGAAGAACTGGAGATGGATTAAAACTTTTGTCTAAGTGTTACAGCAACTGGAAGACTAGCGGTTATAACATAAAGCCTAGAGGAAAATACAATATAATAATGCCCTTGGCATGATCTGGACTGGTATCATTTCATCTTAATGAGTAACACAATACAATCTATTCATTGGCTTTTATCATTTCTCTACAATTTAACGTACCACATATACTGGCACTTCTGTTGGGTCTATTTTGTTTACCGAATGTTTGTCGAAGAATCAATCCATAAGTGCGCTTTCAAATGTCTCAGATTTCTCATCAACAAACATGGGTTTCTTCAAGCCCTGTAGAGCAAAGGTATGTCCGAATAAAGAAGTAATTACAAATCCTTTGTCACTACTTGGTGGGGGCAATACACTTATCAATTGTGTCCTGAAATCTTGTAGCATAGGCACATCACCATTACTAAGGGTGTGATTCATAATGGTTTCACGCAAATGATTCGAAAATGTATTTCTTATTTGAAATGCATCAAATGCCGAATTGAGGAAGTAAATCACAGATTTCAGGTATTGCACCAAAGATTTTGGGAAGAAACACTCAAATGGACCCCGTTTTGAAGTGCACTCAGCAGGGAAGGCCTTGTCAGGTTTGTGTAGGTCAACTACACTTTGAAAAACACCACCAAAGAATTTTGCATGCTCGAGATTTTTCACACGAATGAAGAGAGCACCATCCGCATGGCATTTCACTCTAACATTCATAGAAAATAGAGCTCGAAACCGATCACAGTGTATGATTGAACCCAACCCTCTTGCTGAGCCGCCGGAAAGAAGTACATTTTGAGCATTTCTCATTCCTTTGGCCTATAAATCCTTCACAATTGCATCGAAAATCCTAGCACCCTTGTAGTAATGTTTAGTGACAGGATCTCGTTGTTCAGCATTTCCGGCAAATGACCCTCCATCACAGTATCGAAGGAGGACTCGATTCCAGTTGTAAAAAGCACTTATTTTGGGATCACCGCTTAACATGCCTGTTAAGTTAAAGGTGGCCTGCATATATCGAGAAGAACCATAGGAACCATTCACACGGCTTGCACAACTTTGAACGCTTTGATCGGATGTCTCGTAAAGAGTACTGTTCAAGCACCACCCGCCTCCTTGAAGGTGAAGTAGCCAATTGCTTGCACCTTCATCTTTCCCAGCATCCCAATTATATGCCGGTGGGGTGCCATCCAAACAGACAGCTCCTTCATCACCAGCATTATTTACAATAACTGTTGGAACACTGCCGTCTGTTCCTATTGAATGCACCAATATAACCAAAGAAAAAAGCAATTTCAGTTTATTCAAATTTATATATGGCACTTGTAATCCGAATTTAAATCATCTAAGTTGAAAAACGCCGTGAGGAAGAAAAAAATAAAGAGAAATAAAAGATTTAGAACCATGTAGAAGCTAGAATAGATGGAATAAATATAATTACCAGCTCTAGCATCAGACTGCACCAGTGTTAGAAAGACGAAGAAGAAGAATAAGAGCAGTATGAGCCTCTTGGTTTCCATTGGTCCTGATGATAACTCAACCAGAAAGTAAGGTGATCTGAGAGACAGGAGGAAGAATACTTCGGAAGTTTATTTGATAGAATGAAGCATGAAAATGAAGTTGCAGGTTAAAGGAGGAAGACAGCTGCTATATATGCATACATGGCAGAACCAAAGAACAGAAAATACAATAATACCCCTCTCTTCCTTAACTAGCTACACTATTCTTAAGGACAATTTGTCCTCCAACAAGTAGCTTAGGAAGAGGGGTCTTTGACTCCAATCGTTATGCCATGGAACCGTGTTCACCATGGATGGTGAACATGGTCCCAACGGTGTTAGTTCACCTTTATCTTCTTTTTTTTTTTCTTAATTAATGGCGTGACTTTTCTTCTTCATTTTCACATTTTACGGTTTCACTTTAATTTGAGGTAAGCAATGATTTCGGACATTCATAAATTATGAATCCATGCTTGCATATTCACTTTGGAACCATGTCTACACATTCCCGTCCGAAACCATGACTGCTCCTCTGTAGCGCAAGCTTCTTCAACATTCATAAATTATGAATTTTCTGTTATGAAATTATGAATTTTCTGTTATGAGATTTTGAATTTTCTGTTATGAGATTATGAATTTACAGTAAATTCATAATCTTATAACAGAAAATTCATAATTTAATAAATGTTTTTCTTTTATGCGATTATGAATTTTCTGTTATGAGATTATGAATTTACAGTACATTCATAATCTCATAACAGAAAATTCATAATCTGACCAAACGCGCGCCGTTAATACCACATTAGCGATTTTTTTATTTTTTATTTTTTATTTTTTTTTACGTAGAAACGGCACCGTTTAGATTCGTGTTCACCATCCATGGTGAAGAAGGGCATAATTTTCCCTTTGACTCTTTTCCAGATGCATGAAACAAACAAAACAACGTTTTAATTTGGCCAAGGGGAATGGGCATGGGCATGGGGTTTGGTTTGGTGTCAATAATGGCAACAATGGGTACGAGCGGAGCCAGCCAACCAACCAATTGTTATACAGTCGATGATTATATATGTCGTTAACATATTTTTAATAAATTATGTGCTTTTAAATAAAAAAAAAAATCAGTTTTAATCCCTTGATTGTTGTACATGTATCTAATTTGGTCATTGACTATTAATATTTTTAAATTTAAATACATGATTTATATAATTTGGTTATTGACTATATATGATTGTATTTCCATCTGATATTGCTTTTATATTATTATTATGTGATAACATAACACAATGAAGTAACATTTTTCTTTTAGCAAATAAAATAATAAATTAAGTGAAAACATAGCACATGGACGATAACCTAGCACATGGATGTTAACCTTTTTCTTTTATCTAAGAGAAAATTAAATACAAATTGTTTTTTGTCCATATTAATTTTATTTTATTTATTTTTAATCAAAGAAACTCAACTATTATTCGAGATTTGAAAATATAAGGATAGAAAGAGGACATTACCAAATTCTTAAAAATTGGGGACAAATTAAGTTTGAGGACGAATCAATTGTATTTTTGTTGTTTCTCTACAAACGTAACGACAATAATTCATTTTCATTTGGAAAAATATTACTTGAATTCTAAAGTTCCACTTCCTATTTTTACTTACACAATTAAAATTTTGATATTAACATTTTTCTTGGAACCCTCAAGATTCTTATCATCTCTTGCCAAATCAAAACAATACAAATGAGAAAATAAAGATTGAAAGTTCATGTAGTAGAACTCTTTCATTTAATTTGTTTTAATATCATCTTTCTTTTCCTTCTTTTTATTTCACGTTTCATTTATTATCAACATCTCTTCTTCTTTTTTCTCTCATATAATCTTTTAAAGTGTTTTTCCTTTTCATTTGGTCGATCTGATCCCTCATCCGATCTTCTGTTTCATCAACTTGTTTTTTTTTTTTTAAATAAAAAGCTCTCTTTATGGTCTAGTGACACGAAGTGACTCTGATCTCTCAAATGAGAGGTCATTTGTTCGATTTCTAGTGGGAACGGTATTGACTCTTTGTGCTTCAATATGTTTCGAAAGTAATTATGAATAGATACTACATTGTAACAGAATTAATTGGACTCAAAAAAAAAAAAAAAAAAAAAAACGAAACTCTTTTCATTTACTTTGATCCCTCATCTTCTACATAATAATGATTATTAAAAAAAAAAGGGATAAAGTACAAATAAGCCACTGTACTATTTGAGAAAAAGCAATTAAGTCATCGAACTCAAATAACCCCCAAATAAGCCATTGAACCTGGAAAAAAGAGCAATTATCATTTTTAACAGGTTAACTCCAGGTTTTTCTGACTAGATTGCCAAATGTTTATTTTATTTACGTTTTTATTATTATTATAATACACCTACATAGTAATATATTTTAAAGTAATTGTGATCAAAGTAGTTTTGTTTTGTATAGATCTAATTTATTTATTTATTATTATTTTTTAAACAAAAGATCCAGTGAAAAAATAATAATAATAAATAAATCAAATCTCGACAAGACAAAACTATTTTGATTATAATTACTTCAAAATATAATACTATCCAAGTGGATAATATTAATAAAAATAATAATAATAAACGTAAATAAAATAAACATTTAGCAATCCAATCAGCAAAAACTTGGGTTAACCTGTAAATATATATATATATATATATATATATATATATATATATATATATATATATATATATATATAAACTAATTTTTTTTTAATCTAATACGAAAATTTTGTCACTAACTTCTATCTAAACACTAAGAAAAATATTTTTAAAATATAATCATTTTATATACTTTCTTTTTTATTTTCAAGGTATCTTTAATTACTTACCCATCAATTATCTTTTGTGGACAAGCCTAGCATGCACATAGTTTTTTTTAAAATAAAGATTACTTTTACACCAAAAAGGAAAAATGTACCATGCATGTATTTATTTATTTATAATTATATAGTATAGAGATGATGCATTATTTTTTTGTTAAAACCGAGTTGATGCATTATTCATTAATTATACTGCCATAAAGCCTATGCCTATTACCAAGTGGCTTGTAGTCCACTGGTATCGGGTTGCTCCCCTAAGTGGGAGGTGTAAGATTCTAACTTCAGTTGTGGCAAATAGTGTGTATATGTAGAGTATTTCCCTTCCTTATAAAAAAAAAAATAATAAAAAATAGAAGCGTAGTAATACAAGTTTCTACCCCATATCTTCCGTTGCTATCTATTGCATGTCATTTATTGTTCTAACGTTCCGTTTACAACAGGAGTAATATGTGTTATTTAGTTATTGCCAGCTTAAATTAAATAAATAATTATCTTAAATTAAATAGACAATTAAAATTATTACATATTTTTTTATAAATAGTTAATTTCATCTTTTGTCCTAAATTTATATGTGGTAGTCTATTTTTAATCGTTTTTATCAGAATATTCCCTTTTGGTCCTAGTCTTATTGTGACATGACCAATTTTGGTCCTTTATCAACAAAACCGTTAAAATTTTGTTAAATAGGAAGATTTTATTTTTATTAATAGTACATATGTCAAAAAGTAAAAATTTTTAATTATATTTTAAAGAGTAATATTATTTATCCTTAAAAAAATTTCTCTCCTAATTTACCTCCTAACATAGAACTATTTGATTGAATAAATTCTTCCAAAAGGCTGAATCCCAATCCTAAGAACCCCTTACACCCTGACCCGACAGAGTATTTCGGATCAGTCAATTTGTAACATTCAATAATTATATGCCATGCAATGAGGGAAAATGTTAAGAGAGGTAGAAAGTATTTTTCCTATTTTAAAAAAAGTAGTTGTTTTGTAATTAATCTGAATAACCTTTGATTACCGCATACACAAAAATAGAACGGTTATGTAAATAATTATTTTTTAATTGAAAACGGTAAAATGATCAATGATTAAATTAAAAAAAGTATGGAAAATAATTAAAAATTAAATCACATTGCGTGCATATATATTCTAAGTAAAATGCTAAGGTTATTTACATTTTTGTAATTTTTTCTCACTTTTCAAATGACATTTTATTAAATTTATAATTAATCACCATTCATTCTTCATACATGCAATTCTCTTTCCTCTTTAAAAATAGTCTTATTTTCACATCACTTTATAAAAAAAAAATTTATTTCTTTAATAATAATAATAATAATAATAATAATAATAATAATAATAAATGAAAAGTGAATTTGCAATTCTGCAGTCAAAAAAAAAAAAAAAAAAAAAAAAAAAAAAAAGAAGAAGAAGGAAG